CAGTTGCTATGGACCGGTTCATGTTTGTGTAAGACGAGGTCTGACTGCGGAGCTATTACGGCCAGGCCGCATCCGCTTTGGTGCACGCGCTTGGGCAGCCTCAGAGAGCCGGAGAAGAGTGCGACTATCGCATGTACGCACACTTGCTCTTCAATTGCTCTCTCCTGCGCCACCAAACACTCACTTGCCTTGATGCCGTCTTGGTAGGCTCATGGCGCTGGGCCACTTTCTGTTCAAAAACGACGATGTACGCACATCCTCCCTCGGTACTTCGTTCGATGGCGGTTAGGGCGTGAACTCACCCTCCCCTCCTCCTCGGGCAGGCGTGCGAGCTGGTGGGAATGCTTGGGTTGGATCTCGCTCCCTTCCGCCAGTCATCGTCCTCCAAGATCGCAGCCGTCGCGCGCGAGGTGACCTCGCTCCTCTCTTGATCCTCCCTTGCACCCTCCATCTTGCCCTGCTCTCTTTCTCCTCGCTCGCGAGAAAACAAAAATCAAATTTTATTCTTATTTTATTAAAACAATATTATTCTTATTTTATTATAAACGCAAACCAAAATGAAAGGTAGGTCGGACATCCACTCGCTCCATCCCACACCCAACCCTTGGCATTACGGTGTAAAGGAACGGTCATCAACGCGTTGCGCCAGACCATGCAACGGTCCCGAGGGGCGATGCAGGCACTGTGTGCGCAACGCAGCACTTCGCGCTCAGGAGCGAGGGACAGGAGTCATCATCCATACCCAGTGGGCTCGTCTTGTTTAAGGGATACAAGACTATAGACTCAATACTATGGAATATGATCCTGAAGAGTACGGTCTACTCCTCACCAGCCTGCTCCGGCCTACTTGAAGCCCGCTCTCCGCCGCCCGGCCCGCTCTTGTGGGTCCGGAGTAGAAAGCTGAGAAGTGTCATTTTTGTAGACACATTCCCCGGGAATGGCATTTGGATTAACATTTTAAAAATGAATAATAAAAAAAAATAAAACCACGGGACAAGGGAAAGCAGCTGCACGCAGAGGCCAAGGCCACCTTTGTCGCTGCAGTGATGGAGACGCCGGTGAGGGGCAACCACGGCAGAGCGCTGGTGGCGCTCACTAGCTTCCTGCGGGAGACGTATAAGCTGCAGGAGGAGGGCGACGCCTGGACCTACGAGAAGCACTCGGGCCACCTGCGGGCTCGACCCAACCAAGCCCTGGTGTTCCTCGCCCCCGACCACAAGAGCGGTGACGGTATGGCACTGAACTTGCCCCTCCCTCCTTCGTTTTTTGTAGTGACAAGGTGCTCCACTTGGACCCCTCTTTTTGTCCACACCAGCGTCGCCCAACAGCTTGATGAAGCACCTGGGCGTGGTGAACTCGCGGGCGTCAAGCGCGCACTACGCCAAGCTGGAGGTGCACTTCCGCCGAACGGGAACGCGCAAGCGGTGGAGCGACCTCAAGAGGGAGTTCGAGAGCGCTTCTGGCCCCACGCCGCGGCCGCTCCCCGACCTCAACGACGACGACCCGTCTTCATCCGCAGCCAACAAAGCAGAAGAACCCAAAGGTGAAGAAACAACAACGTTGCAGACAACAGAGAAGAAGAAGAATCAAGCAGTCGCTGACAAACGGAAAGACAACGTCGAAGTCAACGTCAACATCAACACCAACGGGAAGAAAGCAGTGGAGCAAGAAGAAGGTGGAGTGGCGGTGGTGGAACAGGTGAAGCCGGGCGGGGGCAGGCGTAGGGCGTACAGGTCGGAGAAGGAGGTGGTCGAGGTGTTCAACCGCACCCAGGGCCGGTGCTACCTGTGCGGCGGGCAGCTCCAGCTGGAGAACCGGCGGGCGGGCCTGCCCGGCGCCTGGCATATGGAACACATCTTCGCCCGCAGCAAGCGGCCTGACCTGGACCTCGTCGGCAACCTGCTCCCCGCTCACGCCCGGTGCAACGCCCAGAAGAGCGCCCTCAGGTAATCAACCCACGGCCCACGATGAAGAGTTGCCACCGCTTGGCTCAAAGGGTGGTGGTGGTGGTGGTGACTCGCAGCATCCAGGCGGCGGTGGAGCGGTACGGCTTCCGGGTGTTGACGGACATCGAGCGACACCAGGACATGCTGCCCGAGGTGCGCGAGGCGCTGCGCGGGGCCAAGGCGCTGTCCCGCAAGATGCTCGGCGCGGCCGTGGTGAGCGAAGCCCTGACGGACGAGGCCGAGGTTGAGCTGACCTTCTACCCCGGTACCATCGCCTCCCCAGGCCTTGGGTGGCCCGTCCAAGCTGCTGTAGCCCGCCTGACCGTGACTACCCACGCGAAGAGGTGGGCGCGCTGGGCAGCCGAGCGACAACGCCGCGCAGCGAGAGCCGCATACGGGGCGAGGTGGTCGAGCTGGACGAGCTGGGCGAGGGCCGCTGCGGTCGGGTCTATCGGGGCCTGTGGCGCGGCCGGAACGTGGCCCTCAAGCGGCCCTTCTCCGCCTTCAAGAGCTTCGTCGTCAACGAAATCGAAATCCTCTGGTACGCGTTCTCGACCACCACTTAAATGGGGCTTTGTTGGCCAACGAATGAATCCGATCGTGGTCGGTGTGCTACACAGCTCCCTGCGACACGAGAACCTGGTGCGGGTGTACGGCTGGTACGAAAGGCAGAGCACGTTCTATCTGGTCATGGAGCACCTTGCCCGGGGCCACCTCAGCGAGGAGGTAGCGACACACTAGTACCATCCTGATCAAGGATGCAAGCGTACCTGCCACCACCGCCACTAACCATTTATTGCATCCGTTCAGGTGTGCGCGCAAGTTGATGCTTTGTCGGTGCTGTTGGACGTCGCCCGGGCCATGGCCTTCCTCCACTCACACGGCTACATCCATCGCGACTTAAAGCCCGACAATATTTTGGTGCATATACTAGCATTCAGCTGTTACATTGTAACATATGGGCTCGAGCAGCGACCAATTAGCGCTTACTTTAAATTATGACATTCACGCAGATAACGGACCAGGGCCGAGCCAAGGTGGCAGACTTTGGGCTGGCCAAGCTGGCGACGCCAGAGAAGGAAGGCCAGACCAAGTGCGGGACGGACTACTTCATGGCCCCGGAGGTCAGGAAGAAGCAGCCCTACGGCCTCCCCGTCGACGTGTTCAGCTTCGGGCGCATCATTCAGCGCCTACTGGCCCACGAGGCGCGTCCGACCAACCACGCCGACCGTCCACTGTCGGACCTCGCCGTCCGCTGCAGCGGCCTGCCGCCGAGTACCAAGTCGTTCGATGTTCCGCCGCCCGAGCGCAGGCCCACCTTCAACGTCATCGTCGCAGAGCTCGAAGCCTTGGCCGAGCGGTACTGGGGTGATGGGGCCAGCGGCGACGACTAAAGGAAAAGAAATCAAAGTGTTGTATTTGTTTCTGTACAGAAGGAGAGAGGAACGATTGGGCTGACCCAGCCATTACTGGAGCCACAGGGTGTAGGTGAGGAGGGAGCAGGGGCCTTGTCGCGAGACGGTGCTGTACCGCTTGCCGCCCTTGGCCATAAACTCTTGAAACGCCTGCTCGTCGCGCACCGTCACCCGCTCGCCCAACTGTTCACGCACAACACACGACCGAGTGAGTCGCCTGATGAGGCTGCCACGAAGCAGATAAAGCGAAGGAGGGCGCGACGCACCTCGTTCTGGTAAACGAAGAAGGTGCAGGAGTGCTCCTTGTGGGTGGCGCCGTGCTTGTGGTTGAGGAGCTGCATGAAGGGCGCCATGTGGACGCGCACGTCGGGATCGAGCTTGGTGAAGCAGATGCGGCACGGCGGCATTGTCAGCTTGCGGCAGCGTTGCGCCGCCGTCGTCGTCTCCGACTGCACGTCGTTGTCGTCTTCCCGCTCGTCCGCGCCCGACACCCGCCCGTCGCGGCTCCAGTAGCTCTTCACCACCACGCTCGCCGTCGCCCGCCGCTGGCGCGGTCTGCTGTCGGCCTCCGCCCCATCACCGTCGGTCCAGGCCTGCTCCTCCTGCTCCTTCTCCAGCCACTGCCCGAACTCCCACTCCTCGTCGCCGCCGTCCTCGAGCTCGCCCCACTCATCAGAGTTCCGGTCTGTGGTGGTCGGCGACGGCGCGGCCGCGGCGCTGGGGTTGCTCTCGGCCGCGGCCCGGCCCATCAGCGGGGTGGTGGGCTGACTGCCACCATTGGACTTGTCCTTGGTCGCACGGGGCGAGACGAACGAGAGACCGGCCAGCGAGCGATCGCCGCGCGGCGAGGCCGGCATGGTGCCACCCTTCTTGGGCGACGTCGTGCTGACCGCGCGGCTGTTGCTGCCCCGCCGCGGCGAGAGGATGCGCAGGCTGCCCATCCGCTTCTTCTCCTTTTCGTTCTCCTTGGCTTCCTCCTTGTCCTTCGTCTTCTTGGAGTCGGCGTCGTCCTTGGACTTGCCGGTCCAGCTGCTGCCCCGCTTGCGGTGATTGTCGTCGTAGGTGGTGGCGGCCAGGAGGGGTCCGGCCTCCTCGATCGTGGTCCGCTTCTGCTCGCGCGGGCTGATGGCCAGCCGCCGCTTCTGCAGCAGTCGCTCGTCGGCGCTCCGGTGCAGCGACAGCGGCGGAATCCGCTCAGCGATCGACCTCGGACCGCCACCACCTCCAGCACCGCCGGCGCCGGCGCCACCGCAGCCCTCGCTTGCCGACTGTTCTTCGGCGAAGCACAGCCGCTTCATTCGCAGCTGCAGGGTCTGGTTCTCGTGGCCGCCTTCGCCGCCGCTGCCCTGGGCGACGAGGTCCTGCAGGGCGAGGATGGAGCCGAACGGGTTCTTCTTGAGCTCGCGCCGCCGGGCGATGGCCCGCATGAAGTTGCTGTCGTCGGCCGACGGTCCGGCCAGCGGCAGCGGCACGGCGCCGCCGATGGTCGACCCGTCCATGGGCCCCTGCACCGCGCCGGCGTGCTTCCGCGAGTAGCGCAGGCTGCCGTAGATCTCCGTGTTCGTCGCGCCGCGCCGCTGGGGCAGCTGCAGCTGCTGCCGGAGTCTGGTCTCGTTGTTGTCCACCGACCGACTGCGTCGCCTTTCAGCCTTGATAGCGCTGCTGCTGCTAGGCGCGTTCGCCTGCTGGGCCTGCAGAGGCTTCTCCGTGGCCTCGCTCGGTCTCGGAGTTAAACGGTTATGTTCGTTTAACTCCGAGCTCGAGCCGCTGGCCGTTTGGGCCTCGGCCTCGAAGTCGATCTCTTCGGCGGCGGCGATGACGGAGAGCGACGAGAAGGAGGAGGACGTGGACGATGTCGTGGAGGAGGGCGACGGGGAACACTCGCCCACGTCGCGGTAGTCGTCGTCGTCGGCATCGTCGTCATCGTCGTCGTCTTCGAGGCTGGTGACGACGATCGAGATGTCGGAGAGGCTGCTCTCCTCTTCGCCCGTCTCCTCTCCCGGATCACTGGCGTCGGACATCCGCGGCGTCTGCAGCTGGGCCTGGCCCTGGCCCTGCGGAGTGGCGGGCAGCGGCCGCTGGGGCGCCGCCCCGAGGGCGCCCATCCCGCCGACCTCGCCCTCGCACTTCTTGTTTTCGCCCTCGTGCAGCGACGAGAGGAAGAACAGGATGCTCTCGTCTTGAATCGACGTCAGCCGTCGCATGTACCGCCTCACCTTCCTCCCGTGCTGCGGTGCGGAGTTGGCGTGAGACACAGTTCGTGGTGCGTGCGTGCGCGTGTGTCGCGATGGAGATGAAGGTACCTTGTCGGGCAGCTTGATCTTGAAGTCCTTGCACTCGCGCTGCCAGCGCTTGACATCAGAGAGGACCTCATAGACCAGCAGGATCTTCTCAAAGTTGATCAGCCCCGACGCCTCCAGGTAATCCAAGTTGCCCACCTACGTTTGGAGAGTTTAAGTCCATGTGCGGTGGTGCGTGTGCGTGTGCGGTGGTGGGTACCTGCACGAACATGAGGTCCCGCAGGATGACCGCGAAGTAGGGCAGCTTGGGCGCGGCTCTCTTTTGGAAGAGCTGTCGGTAGGCCTTGTAGTTGCTGTGGATGGCCATGCGCGACGCCAGCTTCTCGAACACCTTCCGGTCCTTGCTGCTCACCTTGGCCCAGGCCGGCGTCAGGCGCTTGACCGAGGAGAAGTTGAGACCGGCGATGATCTCCATGAGCCCGTTGAAGTTGTTGAGGTTGAACAAATGAACCGCCACCTACGCGCCACACCACACGGCACACGCGGCACACTCACGCGTTTGAGCTATTGAACGTCCAAGAACGAGAGTGAAGGAAGCGGAGGCACGGTACCGCGATGAATTTGGTGATCTTCTTGGCCTGCTCCTTGGGCGTGCCGCCCATGAGCACGTCGGTCGACACCCAAAAGCTCACCTGCGCAGGTGGGTGGGGGGGGAGGGACGAATGATCAGGTTTCGCTGCGAGAAGACGACGAAGTGCGACGACCACGCAACGTACGTTGTTGAAATGTTCAACGAACGCGCTGATGAGTGGCGTCTTGTCTTCGTCCGCCGAGGATTGCACACCTGAATGAATACAATGAACGAGGCCACGGGTCAGGAAAATGCATGGGTGAACGCTACGGGCCAGGGGCGTGGGCGCGTACCTGCATCTGCAGGCGGCGCTTGCCCGAAGCCAAGCTTCTCCAGGAACTCGGAAGGCGGAATGGCGACGAACAACTGCTGCTCCTTCCTCGTCAGCTCCGCTGCAATCTGCTGCGCTGTGAAGTCGTCTGATATAGGGAGGCACCATCGTTGGCAAACGGTTAGCGCTCGGCGTTGTGTTAGCAGAAGGCGGAGGGGAGTACCGATGGTGAGGTTGTCATCCGCGAGTTCGTCTTCGTCTTCGCTTCCGTCGCCGGTCTCCGATTCGCTTCTCGAACCCGAGCTGTCCCTCGAATTGGCACGCTCGCGTGGGGTGCCGTTGGGTGTGGCTGCAACGTTTCGTTCAGTCAGCCAAAAAGCGAAAGCGAAAGCGGAAAAGAGCGAAGCGTTGGGGCAGTGGACCTTCTCGGCTGCGGGAGGGCGAGGAGGTGATAATGGCCTGGGGCGAGCGCGGAGAAGGGGAGGGGCTGTCGGAGAGACTGTTGTGATGGTGCGGCGACAGCGGAGGCAGCTGCTGTTGCTGATGTGACGATATCGTCTTCAAGAACAGCAGCTTGTATTTGTACTGCACCTGCGCCGAGCACCGCTCCTTGATCGTCTCCAGAAGCGACGCTGCACACCGTCGGTGCGCGCGTTACACAGAAGAAGAGCCCATGGTTACCAATTTTTCCTGCTTTTTGTTGCACCGGCGGGTCGGGCCTGCGTACCGGTCTGCGGTTGGGCCGCGAAGTCGTCGGTGAACTCCTCCACCCACACCCGCAAGAACTCGAGCAAGCTGGTGTGTCGAGAGAGCAGGAAAGGGGGGTAAAATGGTGAGGCCGCTGGATGAAGTGTCCGTCCCGAGCAGGAAGGCAGGTGACCGGAAGCCATGTCGCCGAAGTGGTGGAGACCAATTTGACTCCGAAATAAACAAAAAAAGAAGAAGAAGAAGGGGGGTCGCCTGTACCGGGTCGGGAGGGGGCTGCGTCGCGGGGCCTGGTCTGCCTCTTGCTTGTCGCACGCCTTCATAAACGTGGGCCGATCGAATCAAGGAATAATAATACTTGGGGGGGGGGTGACTTGAAAAAGACGATGACGATGAAGACGGGGGAGGAGGTGGTGGAAAAGGATATTGTCTGCGCCAGGTCTTGACAACGTCCACCGACGAGGTGGAGAACTTCTTGTAGGTGAGGAGGAACGATCGCACATAGTCCTCGTTGGTCTGCTGCATGACCATCTTGGCCAGGATGTGGAAGGCCTCTTCCTTCGTGCGCCGTCTCCCCAGCGGCAGCACCGGCACCGAGCCCGACGAGTCACCGCCCCGACTATCCATCTTCACCACCGCCGCCTTCGTCTTCTGAATCGTTCTCGCGAAGAAAACAACAACGCAAGGTGGTAAGGAGTTCAGTCGCGGATACACGGGGTTATGAATTACTGTATAGTGGATACAATAGCGCTATCAAAGGGCGACGAACACCGAACGAGAACGTTGACCCATCACGAGCGTGTGGGGATCAGAGGAGGGAAAATGGACCACTCGCCGACGAGCGAGATCTAGGGCGTGGGGGCGAGTTCGAATCCCACCGAAGCCTTTCCGACAAAAAGCAGCGGCGATGGAGATGAAGCCGCACAAGAAGCATGCAAAGGCAGCCCGGCTGGCGGCAGCATTACAGGTGCAGCAGGGCCTGCTTGCGGCTTTCAGGGGCTCGGTGGCAGCTCTTCGATCCCCCAAATTCAGGTGAGTCAGATTTAGAGATGCACACTGCATTCATTCATTCACTTCCTTGCGCTCTTATTATTGACCGTGCGCCCCTTTTAGACGTAAGTACGGCGAGTACTTCCTCATCATGAACGCCCTGGTAACTTCTCCCCTCCCACCCTCGTGAGCGTGCTCCTGTGCTGAGGCGGGTGCCCGCATTGGCCCCAGGCTCTGGGCATGTTCGTGGTCATGGCAGTGCTCTATGTGCCTTGGCGTGCCACGCTGTGGGTGGGCTCCTTCTTCTTCACCATCCCTGCCGCCCAGCTAGGTGCGTCACGCCCTGACGAACCACCGCACGTGCATGCAGTGCAGACAGATGGTCAATTAATTGCGTTGGGCGTGGCAGGTTTCCTCGCAGGGATGGCGGACCTGATGGTGCAGTGTTGGGTGATTGTCCCCACGCTGGGTCTCAGCTTCTTCCGGTTTGCGTCGGGCACCATCTTTGCCTATTCAGAGATCGTCTACTTTACAGTGCTGGCTGGTACCTCTGCGCACCTCGCAATCGCCCGTCTGCAGGCCTGACCTCTTTGGCCAACAACAATGGTCACGCCCACAGGCCTGGATCCAACGTTGTGCGAGCAACAACGCAGCGTTACACCGGTTGGGGCTATGACAGCCTTTTGGATCTACTGCCAGCGAACGCTGAGACTAATGGGCCTTTCGGTGCTGCTCTTCGTCGTCTACAACCTCCCCTATATAGGCCACATGGTACTGCTGTCCCTCGCCCTGCCTCCATAGCTCCGCGCCAAAGTAGTGCTCAATCTCTTATCCGTCACCGTCCACGCAGGCCGTGCCACTAGCCCAGCTCTACCTGATCAGTACGGTTCCGTTCAGTGTGAGCTCGTTATGTCAGCGGTGACCACTCACCTGCGCCACGTTCTGTTGTGTGCGCGTGAGCAGACAAGACATTTGGCTGGCGGCCGGCTGTGTTCGTGGGATGCTGCTATGGCGTGACGGCCTACGCGGGAGATGGAGTGAGCACGTTGGCCATGCTCGCGTTCCAGTTCTGGATGTCGGCCGTCGCCCTCACGCGAGAGCTGCTGGAGCCCTTCTTCACTCGTCTCCCCGACTACCGCAAACACCCAGCCATCCTGCGCAAGGTTCATTCACCCTTCTTACCTCCTCTGATGAGCCTCGCTTCACTTGGGCTGACCTTCACCGATCGATGGATCGTCGTCGGGCGAGCAGAGATACTACCGGCTGATGTTCGGGTTTGGAATGCCCTTTGCTCTGGTCCTGTCGATCCCGCTCGTCGGCCCGCTGGCGTGGGGCCTCGCACAGGCAGCCACCGCGGCGCTGGTGGTGGAGATCGACAAGCAGGAACAGAAGCACAGCGCCCGAAAAGGCACACCGCCCATCGCCGTGGTTGCTGGTGCTGGCCCGACCCACACCGAAAAAACAAAATAATAAAAAGAGAAACAAAAGTAATCAACTGCTGTTTGCATCTAAACGGGCCACGGCTCGCGAACCATCAAGTGTGCGACGGACTGGCCCTCGGCGACAAATCGAACACGCGTTTCTCGAGAGCAGCTTGCATGTTGTCGATAGCGTTCTACGCGATCTGGTATGGGCTGATTTGGGGAATCGCCCACTTCATCTATGGTGTCCGACAACAACACGGCGAAGAGGAGATAGAAGTTGTGTAGGCAAGCCTGCCCACCCATACATATGTACAGATATCCTCTACAATCGAATCTAATCTATCAATTTCAGTCATTTATTTTATTTTATTTTATAAAATATTATAACTTATAATTTTAGTTTTTGCCGTTAATAATTGCACGTTACAAGAACAGGCTCCTAAAGCGGGCCTGTTGCAGGCCCAGGTCGCTCTGTGGCAGGGCAGTCCCAATCCACAGACCACGCCCGGAAGCGCTTCTTTTTCTCTTGTCGCGCTTGCTTGGGCAAAATGGCCGCTACTTCTGCCCTTGTGCTTGGGCCGTCGCGGGGACACGGTGTGCTGTCGCTCTCCTCAGCCGAGGCTCGATTGGCTGGCCGCGCGCTCGAGGACGCGAAAGAAGGAGCGCAGACGTCGCTTGCCAGCGGAAGTGGCCGGAAGCCGAACAGTCTCGTTCCGGCCGTCCCACCTCACACAAGCCAACTGACCACAACTCTCCCCTCCCACTCTCAGTCGCCTCACCAGCACAGCCAAAGCAATCTACTCCACTCCAATCCACTGAAGAGCCAGGTTCCAAGGGGCTGTGTGATCATCATCATCATACCAAACCGCCAAGCGGTGCCGCACCAAAGCAACAGGGGAAGGAGCAAAGATTGATTTATCAGACCCTTGGCCAACATTTGGTGAAGCCAACCTTGGACGGCGCGATTTCTCGCGATGGAAAGGCCAGAGGGCGATCAAAACAGCAAGACCCTGGTATCCAAGAGCGATGCTAGCTGCTTCATCTTCTCATGGTACCTACTCCCTCTACTAGCCCGTCAATCTCAATCTCAATCTCTTGTCGCTTTCATTCTTCATCTTTTTCGTTCTTTTGCATTTCAAATTTTCGCTATTTTGCAGCTTACATCTCGAGTTCAGGCTTACGGCCAACTTTGAGGAGAGGCCCGACGCACTGCTGCTGCGGCCTAAGGCCTACGAACTGTACCTGGCCCACTGCCAGGCCATGCGCTACGAACACACCAGCATCGCCGCCTTCGGCAAGCACTTCAAGGTAGTACGCCACTCTCCTCATCTTCATCCTCTTCCTTCTCCTCCTCCTCATCATCCATCTTGGTCGCGGGCGTCATCAGAGAGCGTTCCCCAACGTGAGCATGAAGCGGCTGTCGCGCAACGGCCTCGCCAAGAAGCGCTACTACGCCGGCGTGGCCTACAACCCGCGTCCCGCGCCCACCCCCAAGAGCCACGCTCTCGCCATCACCTGGGTCGAGGAGAACGGTTCAATACTCCTTCTTCTTCTTCTCTCTCGCTTCCTCTTCGTGTCGTGTGTGTCGTGTGTGGAGCATTTGCTAATCTCGCAATGGAATGGGTGATGATGCAGCCGAGGACATTTTCCTGGACGTGCGGGAGAAGAGCCCGACCAACAGGCGGAAGCGGGCGCGCGAACCGGGCGGCGGCGTGAGCAGGGCCGAATGCAGGGCCGAGGCCCTCCCTGACAATGGCGCCATCACCAATCGCGAAGACGAAGTGGATGCCAAAGATGGGGATAAAGAGGAAGAACAAGAAGAAGGCGACGATGAAGAGGCGGAGGAGGAAGAGGAGGTGATCGAGCTGGGCAGGCCGATGACTAGACACGACCGCGTGGTCGTACGCGTCACCCGTGGGCGGCAAACGGCGACCACCCAGCAGCAGATGATGGCGATCGGTAGGGCCGGCGTCCACCTCGGGCTGATGGGCATGCTCGACTTCTACAGGTCGGTGCCACACCCTCCACCGCACTTTGTCGCCGATGGCGCGTTTCCCTGATGAAAGCTCGCTCTCATCGCATCTTCACCACCACCACCCATCGTGCGCGCAGCCAAATGTACATCAAGGAACTGTGGGGCATCAACCCCATCAACCCGGCCACCACGGACATCAAGCTGCTGAGCGTGGGCGCGCGATCGGAGCAAAGCTCCACGCTGGCGCTCAACAGCTGCCTGCTCATGAGCAGTGGTACGCTGGCGGCGCGCACACAGCACACGTAGGGATCTGACTGAGACCGACTTTCTTTCGTTCTTTCGCCCAACAGCGAGCTTCCTGGCCGGCCACTGGACGCTTGCCAAGCACTACTTCCACAGGGTACGGCCGCTGGCTTCTCGCGCGCGCGCGATTCCCTCCCAGCGCTCCGAGTGACTCGCCGCGGTCGCGATGGACTAATGGGGGCCTCCGATCTCATCAGGCGCGCCAGCATCTGGGGAACCTGTTCGACGCGCCGGACTACGACATCGCGTGCGTGCTGCTGCCCCTCTCCTGGTGGACCCGCCTGTACTCTGACAATTTCGCCGAGGGTGCGCCGTCGTTCTCTCCTCTCTCGATTCACTTCGAAGACCGGTGCAACGTGAGGTCTCACGTTCGGAGCTATAAAACAACAACCACAACAACGACAACTGCGCAGGGCTGAGCAAGCAGGCCTACTACGTGGCGCTGGGCAAGCAGATCTGCGAGAGCGTAGACGCGCGCAACGACGAAACCTACCGCAACTTCGCCTGGTGCGCATCCACACCCGCCTCAGCCTTTTCCCCCCCCCTCTCTTCCGCGGCTCGCACTCACGCTCGCCGTGATGGATGACGTCATCCTGGTCGTGCCACTTCCCACAGCATGCAGGCCACGCTCGCGAAGAAGGACCCCTCGAGTCTCATCCACGAGTCCAAGCAGCAGAAGCCCTACCGCAGGAGCTGGCGGTCCGTGAGTGGCCTCACCTATTTCAAGTACCACTTGCGATCCCCCTTAGCTTTCTTTCTTTTCCTTTCTTTTCTTTCTTTGGCCCATTGCTGACTCACTGCTCTGGTGTGAATGTGCCGGAGCACAGGCCCGACAAGGCGACCAGCATCGAGGTCCGCTACATGATCTCGCAGCTCTACGGCGTCGTCTACCCCATCTGCGCCTTCTACCAAGAAAGTACACACACTCCCGGCCATCCCTGCCTCCGCGCGCTTTTTCTTTGCCCTCTGGGCTCTCTCCAGGTGCAGCGGCTCATCGCGCACGCCTTTTCCTTTTTGCTCCGGCAGAGGGCTGGGACCACCCGGGGTGGGCCGAGCGCAAGGAGCTCCTCAAGCAGAACCTGGGCATCGCCAACCAGCTCGAGGAGACCCTCAGCGAACAGATCAAGGCTGACCAGTCGTGCACCCTCGTACCGTCCTCCACC